TATGAGTTTAGTGTAAATGGGTCACCCAAATAATTAGGTATAAGACAAAACTGTGGGAACACTGGATATCATGGAAGCATCCGATTTCAGGTGGATTTTCTTTACAGAAAAAGTGGCCACCCTTGGTGGCCATCCTAAGGCATTCATTGTCAGTGTGTGTTCCCAGGCACGGACCCTAGAATACTACCAACCAACATACAATGGATGGTGTTTCAAGGGCTCGATGTATGTATCTTCCTATGAGCTTGCTGCTAGTTCTAGGAATGGGACAGGGCTGGTATATTATTAAAAGTGGATAACAAGACTCAGAATAAGAACACATATTTCAGGGCTGGAGAGATGGCTCCAGTGTTTAAAGAGCACTGAATGCTCTTCCAGAGGACCTGGGTTCAAATCCCAGCACTCACATGGTAGCTTATGACTTCCTGTAACTCCAAGGTCTGATATCCTCACACAGACGTACATATAGGCAAAATACCAATGCATATAAAATAATAAAAAAATTCTTTTTTTTTTTTTTTTAAAAGAGAAAGAAATCCAAGGCTGGGCAGTGATGATACACACCTTTAATGCCAGCACTCAGAGGCAGGTGGATCTCTGTGAGTTCAAGGCCAGCCTGGCCTACAGAGAAAGTTCCAGGAGAGGCAGCTCTACGTAGAAAGACCCCCCCCCCAATAATGCGATTTCCATTCTAGAGTATACTATACACCCAATAACAGTAGCTCAGGATCCAACCTTGACTGTGGAGCCCCAGGTTGTCTGAAACATTCTAAACACACACACACACACACACACACACACACGTAAACTCTTATCAGTGTAACCTGGTTAATTTTGTGCGTAAATTGGTTGGGCTACAGCATGCCCATCTATGGTCAAATATCCCGCATGGTCTCTAAGGGCATACTCGGATACATTGAATTAAACAGACTTACTGCCTCTAGTGTGGGTGGGGTCTCGCTCAGGAGAAGACAGAATAGAACAAGAGGCTGAGTTAGGGAAACCCCTGCTGCTCTGAGATTGCTCTCCTCCCTGCACCTGAATTGAACTGCACTCAAACTGAAGATGGGAGAGACAGCATGCACTCTCAATCCCAGCACTTGGGAGGATTGTGAGTCCCAGGCTAACCTGAGCTCAAAGTGAAACCTGGTCACCAGATAAAACAAGAGGCTCAGCTGGTAGGTGGTGCTTGCTTTGTATTCAGTCTTCCATTCCCATCGTTCCCATCGTTAGCACTGAATACATCATCCGTGGTGAAGTGGATCTGTTATCCCAGCATGTAAGATTGAGGCAGGAGGATCAGGAGTTCCCAGTCATCCTCAGCTACATTGTGAGTTCAAGGCCAGCCTGGGCTACATAAGACCCTTTCTCAAAAACAACAAAGCAAGACCTGTAAGTGGGTTTTGGGCCTGCGCTGGCATCTGTACTAGAACCACACCATGAAGTCTTCTGGTCCAGCTTGACAGCTGTAAGCTTCTCAGTCCCTATAATCAGTTCGGTGTGTGTGTGTGTGTGTGTATGTGTGTGTGTGTGTGTGTGTGTGTGTACATGTGTAAATTGCTCTGTTTGTTTGATTGGTTATATTTCTCCAGCATCCCGGGACACCAGTTCTTTCAAATTAACCAATGCTCTTACTGACACATCCTTTGGGACACTGCTACCTGGGCCGAGAGAGGCCCTGGTGCTAGTGAGACAATTCATCTCATCCTGGTCTTCACCCCAGAACTGCTGGAGAAGAGAGACTCCCATTCATCTTCGGGAAGAGGATGCTCCCTCCAAGGCAACATGTGTGCCCAGTGCTCCTTGCATGCCCAGTGGTCGCTGCCCACCCCGAGAGCAACGATGGTTAGAGGGAACATTAAGTTGACTTTTCTCAGCAGTTCTAGACAAGGAGTCTGACTCTCTTGAAGGGCCCATGTAAGTCGTGTGTATATTCACCTCTATTATATTGTATTCCTATCCTGTTTAAAATAAAAACAATAAAGTGAAATAGAAAGAATCTATGTGCCACAGCTGTTTTTGTGGTGTGATGGTTGGCACATGCCGGACAAGTATTACTATACCAGCCTTCTTTAAGTTTGGAATGCGGGTAAGTGGTCCTTCCTGCACTAGCAAAGAATGATAGGGCTGCCTTCAGCATCCTGTTGTCTGTATCCTGCGTGTCACCTAACAGCTTCCTAGCTATTCTCTTCCTGCAGTTGCAATGACTTCCTTTTTTGGTTCAATTTTCAGTTTAGCAAACTGATTGAGCCCGGTACGTGTTGGGGCTGTACTAGACACTGAGGGCAAGACTCAGACTCCTGTCCTTGTGGAGTTTTACAGTCAAGGGAAAAACAGAGACATTAAGCAATTTCAGTAAAGGGTAATGATTATGATAGTGGAAATGTCAAGGAAAAGGGCAGGGAAAACATTCACCACACACTAAGTGGCATAGAAGGCTCAGAGCTTGGACAGAGAGTAAAGGATAAGGTGGAATTGGAGGGGAGTGGTGGGTAGGAGCCTAGTGGTGCTGGGTATCAGGGACCTTCCCAGAGCTCCAAGCCTGCGACTACCAAGCACCTGGAACATGGGTGGCCCCAAGTAGGATGTGCTGTAAACATGCAAGAATGTGTTTCCAGGCTTTCGTTCTAGAGGCAATCATATTGACTCAATGTAGGAATAGTTTGGATATACAGGTTTAATGTTAACATTGGTTTTTCTCATTTTTTACTTCTTTGATGTGGTTGCTTGAAAATAATTTAAGACAGGGTCTCACTATGTAGTACTGGCTAGCCTGGAACACAAATGTTAAGCAAACTGACCTTGTATTTGCAGTCACCCTGGCCCAGTGCTGGAGTCCGAAGTGGGCCTCCTAACAGAGCTTGGCTAAAAATTCAGATTGCACATGACTCATTTGTCACACAGTGGCACTGGCTCATACCTGGAATCCCACGGGGGGGGGGGGGGTTCTGGTAAAATTGCAACAAGTTTGAAGCCAGCCTGGGCTACAAAGCAAGATCTGGTTTTATGAAAACTAAAAGGTGCCAAGTTTGGTGGTGCATGCCTGTCTGTCTCTGATCTGGGAAGTGGAGGCCAGGGGGTTGGGAGTTCAAGGTCAGCCTGGATTACCTGTCTCAAACAAGTTGTGCAAGAAGGGGACTAAGTATCCAGACTTCATTCTTTGTGTACTGGGAGGTTTTAAAATGTTTTAAACAGAGGATCTGATCTGATTTCCCTTTTCCAAAGGGAAAGACTAGTTCACAAGAAGAGAATAGGAACAGAAAATCAGGGAGAGGCTGTGAGATGCTGGATTAGACTAGTCAGCAGTGTGGGTCTAGCCAAAAAGTCTCTCCAGCTTTGGCTACAAGATGGTCTCAAAATAAATAACGAAAAAAAAAAAAAAAAAAAAACCAGAAAGTAAAACCTCACCACTTAGGTTGAGACATGGCAAGATCAAGGCCAGATTGTTTCCCACCCCTCAAAACAATCACAACTTATCCCAGGGGGAAAGGATGGGTTAGATCACAGACTCCCATCCTTGTCAATCAAAATGGTTAACTGCTCAGAGCTAACCAGGGCCGACTGAGTTTATAATTTAGGGAGTGACATACATATCCACAAGCACTCACTGACAGGATAACTAAGGTAAACCTTTCTTACAGAGCATACAATGAATTAGCATATACAATGAAGGAATTAACATATGCAATGAAGGGATTAGTATACCCCAGTCACTAACCTCTGATAGGTTTTTACAAGGCTGTTTTACCAACCAACCAGTGGGAAAGTGTAAGCGAAAACGGTGATACACACCTAATCCTAGCACTCCGGCATACCTGCAAGTTTGTGGAGCGTGGGCTATCTAGTGAGTTTCAGGCCAGCCTGGGCTACAGTGAGACTGTCTCAAAAAGCGAGCCAGACGTTAGATCAGGGTATAAGAGAACAGAGGCTTTGCGGCCAACTAAAATAGTGGCCTTATAAAATTCACACACCTTACAACCGTGCCTCTCTCCAGAAGGGGAGTGTCCTCTCGTGCTGCTAAGTACCAGTATGTCCACTGTATCGAAAGTGTCACTTCTTGATCTGAGTGACTAACTTGAGAAGTCCCTACCGGGTGACAGGTCAGTCTGTTTTACACTGGCCACAGCAGCTGCATTGCATGTAAATACACTGTGGTGTTCTAGTTAGCTCCAAAGCTACTTAACAAGGTTTCAGAGGGCCAGAGCTGTATTTGAAGTTCAGATGATCAAAATGCACAAGTATATTTAAAAATTAATATGTGAACTGACTGTGGTGACTCACACTTACAACCCCTTAACACTTGGGAAGCAGAAGCTTGGCTGCCATCATGATTTACATAAGAGATCCATCCCAAAAGCAAAATACCCAAAAAAATCACTTAACAGGCTGGCTTGTAGCACAATAAATAAAAGATTCAGAGACTGATATTGGGGTTCAAGTTTCAGAAAAGCAAAGCAGCCAAGCCAGTTTATCTTACCTCTACCTCAGCTGAGACCAAAGGGGCGATCTTCTAACGGCACCCAACTAAACTGCTCCTCAGATTCACTCAGACTGCTAAGTTCTCTTCAACTTGGCTACAGACTCTACGCCTTCCTATCTTCAGTGTGGCTGGAGAATGGATGCCAGCTCTGAGACCCTGTTCTTGTCTTAAACACCTCTCATGAGTCCCGGGGTTGTAGGCATGAGCTATGTTACTCTTTTAGACTGATTCAGTGTTGTGTAGGCCTGGGTGGCCTTGAACTCAGAGAGATCCATCTGCCTTTGTCTCCAGAGTCCTGGAATTAAAGGTGGGTACCACCACCACCACCTGATCTCTATAAGCTTAAAGCTGGCTTTGCTTTCTGAATCCTCAGGCAAGCTTTAATAAATCATAAATAACATATCATCACACTGGCTCACATAACATCTCAAAGAAATCTGGCTTCAGGTTCTAATGGGAATGAGATTCATGTCAAGGTGAGATAGAAAATGGATTTTAACAAAACAACAAGTCCACAGTGTATAACAAAGGAAATTCTTTATTGTAAACAGGTATAAAGTACAACAAAAAATATTGTGCAAATTGGAACTCATGATTCTTTATAATTTTTTTTAAGAAAAATCTTTTTTAAGGGTTCAAGTTGGCATGTCAGAAACCTACACCCAAGGTACAGAAACAGTTTAAATGGGAAGGTATAGTGACAGTTTTTCACTGTGTATTTTGAACAATTTACCTTTACTACCAAGTGTGTTATCCACTTTACAACAGAACAGAAATACTGTTAGCCACTGTTCTAGGCTGGGGATGCAGCCCGGTGGTAGAGGGCTTGCAGAACACATGCAAGGCCCTGGATTCAATCCCCAGAACTGCAGGTGTGAGTGACACTTTATGACACATTAAATCTCAATGAGTTTCGAAGGTGCCCAAACCCTGTGGCGGGTAAGAAAATAACTGCATTGTGAACACCATTTTCAAGTTGGAAGTGAATGTTCTAATAATTTTCTACCTATCTATTCCCACACCCTGAAAAACGCCTATAAACAGAGGAAACTGTTGCCTGTAATGGCCATTAACTTCCTAGTTTGAAAAAGCACACAGTATGTCTCTGACACGAGCATCCTTTACTGATGACATAAAGCCATCTTTCCCAAGGAGTTATCTAGAATTTCTGATATCCCCTCTTTATAATACATATTTTCACCTTCAGATTTTTTTCTAAATAAAGTGCAGTGTATCTTAAGTCTACAGAAAACACATTGGTATACAATTTTCAAATCTATACAAGAAACTGCAGGCAAACTAAATCTAAAGTAGAGTCAAATGGCTAAATGTTGTTAAAACTTTCAAAACAAAAATGCAAAAACAAAAAAAACCCTTTTTCTTTAGCTGCACTTCCAAGCATTTAAGGTAACAAGGGTTCCAATTCTTTGGCTCCCCACTAACAATGTCCAGCTGTTCAACTATAAATACCAACAATAGTGGGAAATGATAGTTGTAGATAGACTTAATAACTACATCCATGAAGCTGAATGGAAAGATGAGGAGTAATAAAAATGATAACTCTAGGAGAAGATGGCATCTCTGTGGAACGCAAACTCATTTTTTTTTAGCTCTATCCATCTCTGTACCGGAATTTCCAGCCTCCAGATTCTTGAAACCAATGCTTTAGAATCACAGCGCAGAGCTGGCCTCAAGTATAAACTGCAAAAACAAAGTACCCAGTGTGGACATGACTGGAAATCTGTGCTGACCTCATCTGAAACCTTCACAACAATCCAAAGGAAAAAAAGCTTCCTCATCGCTCTATGTGGAAGGAAATGAAACCTGCCCTTCTGTGACCTGCCTGTGGCTGAAGCGCTTGTCATCCAACCCAGGCTGGCCTTCCCCTCAGCCCTGCTGGAGGGCCGCAGACCTGCAGAAGCACTGACACCATCACTGGCTCCTGACTGACAAAGTTAGTTCTGACTCTTCATCTTCTGGCCTGTCACTGTGCAGAAGCCAGGGTTGGAGGCAGAGCCATGTCATTTAACTTGCTGACTTCCATCTGCCAGTTTGGGAGCTTCTTGGCTGATAGGTGGCGCCGGGCATGCTTGGTCAAATGGTCACTCCTCATGAACCGACGGTCGCACATAGGACAGGCAAATTTCTTCTCACCGGTGTGTGTTCGCCGGTGTCTGGACAGTTCATCAGAGCGAGCAAACCTCCTTTCACAGCCTTTCCAGCTGCAGCTGAAGGGCTTTTCCCCTGAAACAAAGAAAGTCAGATGGTTACTACACACCGACGACCTGTAGGTTCTATATTCTACCACATCTAGACCCAGACATGGACATAGAACTTAAAATCAAAAGCTGGTCAGTTTCTAAGTTATCTTAAGTATATCCAAGTATTACTAGTGTGATTGATGCTACGGCACACGCCTTACATCACAGATGATAATATATGCATTACCACACGCCTGCCTCTACTTCCCAAACGCTAAGATTACAAGGTATGCCACTGGGTCCGGGGACAAATTTAGCCATTTTAAAGATACTTTATCATCCACCATGCTTCCAGGCGAAGCAAACCCTTTGATACACTAGTGTGCATTTGTGATCACACTCAAAACTCCAGACATACTCATTTCCCAGACGAAGCATACAAAGGGGGCAGTACCTGTGTGCGTTCTCACGTGGGCCTTCAGGTGGGAACTTTTAAAGTAAGTCTTGCCACATCCTGGGTGGCTACAAACGTGACTCCTCACTCTGGACGAATCAATCTGGGGAGTGACTCTTGCTGCTGAAGGAGAGAATCCAGGTGCGGGAGCAATGGGAGACAGTCTGGTGCCATTGGGGCTTACTACCGGAGGTTTTGGGTTCTGCACAACTGGCTGGGGCACGACAAACATCACGGTGCCCTTGGGCACCTGAGTGCCCATGAACAACACAGGTGAGCAGACAGCCGGTGGCTGGCTGGGGGGAGCGCTAGGGACAACTGTGGTCACAAGGGAGTTGTTTGCAGGAAGGGGAACCATCTGGCAGATGACAGGCATAGGCGGCACTCCCCCAGTGGGTACTGTGGGCGAGGAGACCAATACTGACTTCTGCAATGGGGACGGAGGAGCGGGCTGAGGCCTGCAGATGACTGTCTCTGAGGAAGGCACAGCAAAGTCGTACGGAGCAGCGCCTGCCTCCTCATCACCATCTGCGGCTGCATTTTGCTCACACCTCGATCTGTTTGGTGACACGGCCGCACAAGGTACGCTCTTTCTTGAAGCCTCAGTATTTAGGTGGGTCCTTCTTCGGAAAGAACTGTCCTGATGGTTAAGGATGCTGGCTGCTTTCACAGGGCAAGATTGGTTGTTACACAGCTGGGCATCAGCTGTGTGGCGGATGACACTTGTTGCTTGAGCCTTAGGGAGGGCAGGGGCAGCTACAGGACTCTTGTCCTCCTCTTTGAAGGGAGGAGCAGCAACGGGGGCCTTAGCAGCCTCGGAGAATGGTTTGAAGTGGCCAGCAGATGGCGCTGGTGCCACCACAGTTGACACCTGAGAGTGTTCAAAGTCAGAGGGGCTGTAAGGCGGAGTCAAACACTACAAAGAGAGATACAGGCAAAAGCATGAGAAACGAGGAACTCACTGTGTAAGTGCTGAAAAATGCTGCAATTTCTACCCACGCAAGAATACTCACAAATGCCGGGATTGTGTGAAGGTCGGGAGTCCCTGGAAGCAAGCTCTCCTCCTCGGAGGTGTCAGACACTGGGGTGACAGGCCTGTTTTCAAGGTATTTCTTGAAGCCGGACTTCCAGTCGCAGCTCATGGACATGAGCGCTTCCACAGCTTCAAAATCACTTTTCTCAGTCTTGTTCCAGGTGTACACACTCTCTTTCAGCTTCTCAGGCATTATTTCCATTTTCTCCTCCTATGAAGAAACAACGCTTTCAGTTCATCAGCACACTTCTCATTACTCAAACGACAGGGATGTGCAACCTTTTAAAAACAGCCTTTGAATTTAAAGGATGCCACCTTATTGCAGTAAGGCAACCAAGACCAGTGTTTATCCTAAAAAGCAAACTACTTCCAAGTTAAAAGTTATATCCAGTCACCTGAAGTCTGAAATTGGTAACCTCATTATGGATGGTAAAGATCAAGTAAAATAAATAGGGGCACAAAATCTAGCCTGGCAAGGAGGAATGCCATGTGCAACCTCAGGTCTGCAGAGGACAAGCAATTGGAGGTTGCATCTCAAAGAAAATAACACACACACACACACCAACAACAACAACGGGAAAATCTGTTTTATTTTGCCAAGTCTCAACATCTCCACATCTCTTATTTTACTGGATCTATCCAATACAATGGCTTGGTGTACCATAAGAAACATGATCAGGCTTAGAATTTGCAAAGCAACAAACCTAGTCAGAGTGTAAAAATTGGTTTTAATTTATTTTAAATGCGGCTTGATAACAGTTTATGCTTTGTGTTTGTGCAACTCTTTCAACCTCACAGTTTTAATAAAAAGTTCTTTGAGCTGCATTTTAAAAGAAACATCCATCTCTCTTTTTTTCATTTTAAAAAGAACTTCCAAATCCTTCTGGTCAAAGTAGAGATTGAAAATGAAAAGCATTATACATTGTGAGGCAGAGAAGACAAGAGTTCAAGGCCAACTTTGGCTGTTTATCAAGTTCAGGGCCAGCCTCACTCAAAAAACAGGGCAAAACCTAACAAAATTAAATTATAAAGATAAAAAAGCTATAAACCTTTTTTTAAAAATGTCTACCTTCCTATTGAAAGTGTGGGGGAAAGACATTGTTCTTGAAATATTACTAACAATGCAAATTGCATAATCGTTCGCGCCTTTATGTAATCTGCAATGCATGAAGTAATGTAAGTGTAAAAAGCCTCTAGGCACCAACGCAAAGAAAGGGGTGAAAAAAAAGGCAGGCAGGCAGGCAGGGGTGAGGAATGTGGGCCGGGAAGGGAAGCTGGGAGGGGAGCGAGCCGGTGCGAGGCAGGAAAGGGAAGCCGGGCGGGGGCGGGCGGGGCGGGGCGGGGCGCGGGAGGCCGGCCGGCGGGGGAGATCCTCGCTGGCGGGGCCCAACGGATGGGGCCGCCCTAACCTCAATGAGGCTGGCGGGTGAGTCACCGGGAACGCTGCCCGCCGCGCGCACGTCCCCGCGCCCCGCCCCTGCCATTGGCCAGCCCGCCTGCGGCCCGTGCCCGGATTGGCTGGGCGGCCCGGGGCGGGGGCGCGGGGAGGGGGCGAGGCATGTGAACAAAGCGTGATCAGCGGCTGCTCGGGCCGGCGCAGGAAACGTGAACTGGGGATTGCCGCGCCGTCACCTTTCCCCTACTTCCTGAGCTCGGGCCCCGCCCCCGCCCGCCCGCCAGGGGAGGGAGGGGCCGCGGGCGCCGCCGCCGCCAACCGCTCGCCAGTGCGCACCGGGCGGCGCCCGCCCCTTCCACCTCCCCCGAGCCGCGGTTCCCTTAGGAACCGACAGCAGGGCCGGGCCACGCTCCCGCCCCTGCCTGGCGGAGGCCGGGGCTGGGTCACTCAGGGACGAGGAGCTCCCCGGGTGCACCCACTCGCCGCCCAGCCCCGGCCTCCGCCTCCAGCTGCGGGAGGAGGAGCCGCCGGGTCCCCGCGGAAACCGGCCGCCGCCGCCGCCCTCCTCCCGGGAGCGGCCGCTCGCTCGCTCGTTCTCTCGGTGGGAGCCCGGGGCGCTCCGCCCGCACGATCCGCGGGACCTCGGCCCACCCGCGTCCCCCGCCCCCTCGCCGCTGCTTCCGGGCAGCCGGCCCGGGCCCGCGTCTCTGCAGGCTCCCCAGACGTGCGGCGCCCACGGGCGCGGGCTGCACGGCTCCCACCTCGACAGGCGCGCGGCCCCCGCGTCTCGCGGTCCCCGCTCCCCCGCCCAGCTGTCTGCAGGGCCCTGCCCCCCTGCCGAGTAATCCCCAGGCGGCCACCTGCCTCTCCGCCAGGGATGGGAGTCCCCTCCCTACGTCTGCCTGCAGTGGGTGCCATCCATCCCGTCGCCAGCCAGCCGTCCCCTCCCCCAGCCCCGGGCCAGCCCAGCCGTGTGGTCCCCACCTGGCAGCACGCACCCACCCACCCAGGTCCCTCCCGGACGAGCAGGCGCCCGCCTCTCGGACAGCCAGCTCCCGAGCACTCAGTCCTTGCCACCCCGGGTAGCACTCCTGGTGCAGACAGGGGCATCTCCCGCCAGTGCCAGGTGCAGGGCGCCCCCTCCAGCTTCGCCGCGCTCCCAGGGAGGCACCCCCCCTCCAGTTCGCTCTCCTGCTCGGGTGTCCCCCTCCTTGTCCACTGGACACCCAGGGAAGCACAAGATCGCACTGCCCTGGTCCAGGTTACCCAAAAAGAGCTCCCTCTCCCGAGCCCTCCTCCGCTCATGCCCTCGATGATGTCCCCAGCAGGACACCCAGGCAAGACCCCGCTGCAGCCTGGGTCCTCAGGCGTGGCTGATGCGGGGACTCGGGCTTCGCGCCCTCCCCCGAGGGGCTGGCTCGGCGACCCTGGGCGGGCGGGCGAGCAGGCAGGGACGAGCATCCCCAGGTGACTTACCGAAGATTGCTGGAGAGAAGCGCCGAAGTTGAGCATGGCTGGCTGGCGAGGCGCCTCCGAGCTGCTGCTGGCTGCCTGGCCACAGACGGCGGGCGCACTGAGACACTAGACGTCGACGCCGCCGCGCTCCGCGCCGTCTGCCCCCCTCCCCATTCAGGTAGCCGCTCTGCCTGCCCCGCGCCGCGGGGCGGGGGCGGGGGCCGGGGGCGGGGCCTGGCGCCGGCCAATCAGCGGCAAAGGTGTGTGAGGCCCCAGCCAATGGGCTCGCGGGGCCACGCGTGATCAGCGGCTGCCCGGCTGCAAGAAGCTCTGTCAGTGGAGCGTGTACACAACCCCGAGGCGCCGCGTTCCCTCGGTCCTGCCCCGGGGAACTCCGGGGACCACCTGACTCCGGGGCGCCCCTCGCCCACCCCTCGCTTCCTGTCCGTCCCCCGCCCGCCCGCGCCCCGGGGGCGGTGCCACTGGCGGGGCCATCACTGAGAGGCGCGGTGGCGGCGGGAGGCATCCAGGCTCCGGGGAGAGCCGGTCCCACGTGGGGAGGGGAGGGGAGGGGAGGGGAGGGGAGAGGAGGGAAGCCCGCCCCGCCCTGTCCCCTTCGCGCCCGCGGCGTTCGGGCCCGCCAGGGAGTGGGCGGGGCCCCGGGCGAGCAGCGGAGGCGGAGAGCGCGGGGCCGAGCCTGGAGATTTCCTTTGGCAGGCAGCGCGGTCCTCGTGGGTCTGGCGTGGTGGCAGCAGCCGGGTGGACCACACCGAGCGGCGTCCCTGAGCCTCCGCCGGGTTCTGTCGCTCTGAGCCGCGAGGCGGCGGCGGGGAGCCCTGTCACGGCGGACACCTGCTCGCACTCAGCGCCCACGCCCGGGCGGCGGGCGCTGGCTCGCCCTCCCATCTGCGGCACAGGCACAGGCGCCGGCGGCGGCAGGGCCCGCCTCTGCGCGTCCCTCCCGTCCTTCCTCCTGGGCGCCCGGTGCGGGGAGCCCGTCCCGTAGGGCTCGCGGCGTGTCCCGGAGCCCTAGACCCGAGCGCCCGGTGGCAGGATCGAGTTTGAGCTCGGTGTCCGTAGGAGTTTGAAGTAGTGTGCGAGTCGTCCCCGAGGCGGACCCCGCCTCCCCCACCCGCGGGACCACACGGCCTTCGCCGACGCCCTGCCAGGAAGGCGCTCGTGGGCTGGGCTCCTGTCCCTGCCCCCTCCCTCCGCCACTCCAGGGTCTGGGGCAAGCGGAGCCGCTTGCAGGGAGGCCGCCCGTGTGCAGCAGCCGGGGCGGGGGCTGTGGCTTCCCAGCCCCGGAGCTCTCGGCTCCTCTTCGGCGCCCTTACTGCCCCGCCCCCCTCGACCGTTTGTGCGGGTTCACAGCCGCTGCTGGAGCCGGAGGCAGCGATAGCGGGGCTTAAAGCAAACTAGAGATTTTTATCTTCTCCCCCGGGGCAGGCAGCGGGTCGTGCGACAAAAGTCACCGCCTTCCTGCGGGCTGTCTCAGCTCGCGCCGCCCCTCTCCAGTCACCGCAGCATGGGTAACGGAGGGAACTGTTGTAGAGGCCGCCAACTCTACCACCATCTCACGGTTCCTCGTGGTATACCTAAAGTCAGCCGGCAGCAAGAGGAACGATAATACCATGGGCCAGAGAGGCCCCGGGTGGGGGTGGGGTGGGGACGATGGCTGAATGGCCTCCTTCACTGCCTGCTCTGAATCCGCTGGAGGAGCGCCAGCTCAGCAACCCGGGCAGCTCTTCCTGCCTCCCTCCACCCGGTGCCCCTGCTTCTGTCTGCAGGAGCGTCCCTCCCTGCAGGCTTCCTTCCGCTTGGGCTGGCCCATCCTGTTGCTCTGAGCCTGAAGGTTCGGAGCAGCTGGTCTGGGCACCTGCTGCAGCGCAGGAAGCGCCTGTGTGTGCCCAGCAGCAGGCTCGCCCGCCCGCCCGCCTTCCTGCCAGGAAGCCGCCACCCCCTGGAGTGGTCCCAGACAGACCCACCAAGCCTGAACTCCGTGTTTTCGACACCGTGGGGCCTGTTGGCGTGGTGTGCTCCCCCAACACACACTGGGTTGTAGGGAGCATTCAAAACTTGGGGAGATCATTACAGAAAAGAGAGAAAGGGTAGGGGGACTGGCCGGTGGTGGCAGTTCCTGGAGATACAGAGAACGCTGCCCCTCAAGGAATTCAGACCCAACATCGCCTAATCTAAAACTGTTTCGGTGCGGTCTTCAGTTCCTCATTGCCCAGACAGCCACTGTCGCCTCCCTCAAAACTTCAGTGGGCTCCACTTAGTCCCCAGGTCTGTGCAGCTTTGTCGAAAACACCTACACACTGTTTTGCAATACTGCCTGTCTGAGGAGACAGGGTCTCACTCTGTGGCCCTAGTTGGCCTGACACTTGCATTGTAGACTATGCTCACAGTTAATTCAGGACAACCCTCCCGCCACAGCCTTCCAGGTGCTGGGATAATGGGCACCAGGCAGACCCCCTGGCCGGGGGTTTTCACCTCTTGCTTGGATGAAGCTATTTTTAATCTGTCATCCCGGGACATCCCACCCACACCCAGCTTGTTTTTAAGTGCTCAGATTCCGTGCTAAAAGTTGAGACTTGATCACAACACTCCCTACTTAAATAAATGACCTTTGCGTTATCAGGAAACCAAAGGCCACCCCTTTATGAATTGGGAGTTGCCAGGTACTTTCTCAGCCTTTCCAACTATCTACTAAATTCTCTGCTTACCCAGAGCTAACAAATAGTGCATTTTTACATCTCCATACCACACCCCCAATCAATGGACACCTTATTCATGCCCCCAATCATCTATACACATCAGCAAATGTTATTGAGCAGCTGTGTATTCTAGGGCGCCCAGTAGACTGGCCCCGAACTCTTGATTCTCCTGTCTTTCAAATACCGGATTGCAGGGATGTGTCATCCCTGCTTTACATTAAGGTTTAGTCTCCGCCTTTTATTCTAGCACTCAGGAGGCAGAGGCAGACTGTGAGTCTGAGGCCTGCCTGGTCCACAGAGCAAGTTCCAGGACAGCCAGGGCCATTACGCAGAGCCTGTCTCGAAAGAAAAAGTTTAATCCCAGCGTTTGGGAGCCTAATGCACGATCTATTCTAAGGCTAGCCTGGGCTGCACGATGGTTTTCAGGTGGAGACTGGCTACTGAGAAATTTGCAGGGTACAGAATGAAATACTAGTTTTCTGTATGGTGCAGAGGCTGGACTGTCTTGGGAGAATGTAATTTCTGGTTTCTGGGTTCTTGCTCCCTTGCCATGTTGGTGTGGCCTTCCTTGACACCTCCAGGCTGGATTCTTTTTCTGCCTCTGCTTCAAAGCACCTTGTACTAGAAGTAAAGTGCTTATTACATCTTACTGCAAAGCCGACTTTATAGTACTGAATCTTGCCCATGGTCCACCCAGATCTAAGCTCCTGTAAGATGGTGGCCACTTCATAATGTACCCCACATATATACCCAAGCTGGCCTAGACCCCTCAGCAAACCACCGCCTCAGCCCTGTCCCCCACCCATGTGCTGGGATTGCATCCATATGAGCTGCTATGCCCAGCTCCACAATTCTTCTTATTTAGTTTTTGTTCTGTAATAGGCACTTTTTTTTTTTCAATGAAGAAAGTAAAATTATAGATTGTCTCTGAAGATCCTGGGATTAGACAGACCAGTCAATATATGAATGGACATAGGAGTCCTTCCATACCTTTGTCTTAGTTTGTGTTGTTACAAGGCCCTTTATAGAGTGTGGTCATCTTGGGCAGTTGTAAGTGGTACCTCAGAGGCTGACCCTTGTTGCTAATGGTGTTTTGTTCCCTTCAGTCAGAACAGTGGAGGGAGGGAGGTAGAGATCCGCCACTTTAGCCACAGATTTTGGAACACACTGTACCTACCAGCCAGCCTCTCTTTGCTGCTTACAGTCGCAGGCTCTCGTCCCCTGTCCTTTGCTCATCGCCCCACCACATGCCAGGCATTAGCTGAAGAGCTGTCCTAAGAAGTCCCTGTGTTGAAGGAAACTCTAGGATAATGTGAGAAGCAAAACTGTGGCCATTGCCACATGCTGGAAGATGCTAAGAGAGAGGGTGCACAGGGTTTAGGGGGTGTCTAGGAAAGGGTCAGAAAGGGCTCCTCAAGTTAACTACTCAAAGCCCAGAGTGGAGAGCATCAGTGATTCAGTATACTCTAAAACTCTGAGTCACACACTTGAGAAGCAGGAAGAGGAGCTTAGTCCTGTGTGTGCCACTGAATGGATGTCATGAAACTTTGGTCCCAGGGATGGTGAGGATGAATATTAGTGGGGGGGGGTCTCGAAGGTTGCTCATTGTAGCCCAGAGTGGAGAACAGACCTGAGGAATGTGTGTGTGGGTTGAGGTGTAGGTGGCGAAGATGAAGCCCAAAGAAAGGAAGCAAAGGCAGGCCTGGAGAGACTGGGACAGAGCTGCAACCTGGGATGAGGATGAGGATGTTGGAAAAGATCTCCAGGTCTCTGGCTTATTCACTGGATCTAATGCAACATCATCGCCTGAAGAAGGGACCACAGAAAAGATGTGGGTTGTGGAGGACAGGAAACAATCATCAAGTTGGTTTGTTTATTTATTTATTTTAAAAGATGTAGTTTTTTTAAAAATTACATGTATGGGAGGGGGCAGCGGCCACAAGAGGGCATTGGACCCTCTAGAGCTGGGGTTAGGGACAGTTGTGAGTTGCTGTCTTCGGTGCTGGGAAATGAGCTCAGGTCCTCTTCAAAAGCAATGCGTGCCTGCAACTCTCCAGTCCTGACAAGTTGTTTTAGGGCATGCAGAGGTGAGGTTCTGTGTGACACACCGGGCAGAGATGACTAGAAGTGGCATTGTCTCAGCTGGAGTTTAGGGGAGGATAATGTGTGGGCGGGCTGCAGGTGAAGAATCCTCAGGGCATAGTGGCATCTGAAGTTAGGAACAGTCCAAAGGAAAAGGAAACACCAGAGAGAAGCCAACACAGGTGCACAGGGCGGTACTGGCTGAGGGTGATGGGTCAGGGACTCCATTCCCAAATGTTTTGCTTGATGTTCCGGCCTAGCGAGGCATAAAGTGGAGAGGAGAGGCAAAGAAGGGCGGGAGGAGGAACTGCAAATGTCAGAAGGGGCATAGGGCAAGAACAGCGCCATTGAGTGGTGGGTGATAGCTTCACCGTGGTATAGTAATTGCTTTTCTCATACCTGTGATCAG